TTAGAGATTGTTCTCTATTGTTCTTAAATAGCCACGCAAAGAACCAAGAAAAATATATACGAGCCCAGGCTCATAATAGTTCGGCCGGCCAACGTTTTTAATTAAATACTTGAATAAATTACACATTCTACCAAAATGATGAAAGATTTCCTTAAAACTACCTCACTGTAATAAAATATAGACTATCAATTTGCTAAATTTAATCACTTTTGACAAAATTCAAATTGAGGAAAACGTAGTTAACAAAAATGCAATCCAACCAATGGGTCATTATAGTTCGGCCACTTATCATATCTGCCATGAAACTGATATAAGTACTCCATCAAAACAAAACAAATACTGAATAATTCAACAAAATATCTGTCGTTATTAGTTTTACCCACGTTTTGCTTCAGATTTAATGTAAAATGCCTCGTGGTAAACCTCTAAGTAAAGATTTACGAATTTCTATTATAAAAGCCCATGAGAAAGGTATTTCGGCCCTCCAAATATCAGTTTCTCATTCAATATCGCGTTCTACAGTGCAAGATATTATTAATTTATACAGAAGAACCGGCGGAGTCGACCAAAAAGTCAAAACCGGCCGACCATCTACAATTACAGAAGCAAATAAAAGAGCTTTACGCAGAATAGTAAAAACAAATCGGCGGTCCAATACTAAAGAAATAACTGCACTATGGAGGGATAGTATAGCAAAGCCTATTTCAATGTCCACAACGAAAAGAACTATTCGAAAAATAGGATTCAAGTTTTACAAGGTAACTTTTTATCTTTTTTTTCTTGTTTAAATTCTTGGCAATTTTTTATTTTTTTCCAATAGGCAAAAGAAAAACCTCAATTAACAAAACTGCAGAGGAGAAACAGGTTAAAATGGGCACGAGAACATAAAAATTGGACGAATCAACAATGGCACAGCGTAATTTGGAGCGATGAGTCAAAATTTGACGTTTGTGAAGGTGACACACGAAAACGGGTTTTGCGTACACCTTCAGAGGCCTATCATAGCGATTGTTTAGTCAAAAAAGTAAAGTTTCCAGCATCTGTTATGGTCTGGGGTTGCATGTCTGGTAGAGGTGTTGGTAAACTGCATTTTGTTGATGGAATTGTTAACGCGCAGAAGTACAGAGATATTCTGGAAGAGAGTCTGTTACCATCTGTTGAGATGTGTCAAACGGCGGAAGGGCATTTCATATTCCAACATGGCGGTGAACCGTGTCATACGGCAAAAACTATTAAAACGTGGTTGCAGAATCATCAAATACCAGTATTAAAATGGACATCTTCCAGCCCAGATTTATCTCCTATTGAGACCTTATGGCACAATATGAAAAAACAGCTTCGGAAACATCCAGCACGTTCAGTGCCTGAATTAAAAGTCACAGTACTGAATATTTGGGATAATATTCTACCAGAAGAATGTGCTTTGTTAGTAAATACAATGTCTAGCAGAATTAAAGCAGTTATTAAGAACAAAGGCGATGTAACTCAATATTAAAGAGTGGCCGAACTTTTATGACCCCTGAGACGGATAAAGTTTTCTATTGTGTAACCATTAGTCGATATATGTATTGAATAAAATGTTCATTTTTGTAACTAAAAAGTTTATATTTTACTGTAGTTAAAGGGATTTTCAGAAATATTTTGTTATTTCTGCATAACACATAGATTATTAAAGTATTTAGTTGAAAACGTTGACCGGCCGAACTATTATGAGCCTGGGCTCGTACAGGGTCGGAAATCCACAAATAAGAAGTGGATCTTATTTGTGGAAGGGCGAAATGGTCGGTGACTATTAGACGGCTACATTATAGCCATCTTTTTCTATCGCACGGATTTCTATGACTTTCTTTATCGCTCTCACGTAACGGCCGATGAACCATGGGGACTTTCCGACCCTGTAGATAAGTTTATGGAGGTTAAGTTATTATGTGTTATTGTGAATTGTCAAAGTTGTCAAAATGTATATAAAAATTGTGTTAAATAAAAAAAATTCGGTACAGTATCTATGTTGTAACTGCTTTCTCATTATTTTATTATTTTAAACTTTGAGAATATTTTCATAACTTACATATTGTTGAAATTGGGATAAAATGCCTTTAATATTGTTTTCAAAAAAAAAAAAATTTCAAACACAAACTCGCTCCTGGTTAAACTTTTTATATAAATATTCAAAGGTAGCTGAACGAAGTCGCCTTACCGCACACTTTTAATGTCTGTTTTTAAATCTCTTCATGAAACTCTCGAAGAAAAAAGAAAGACGACTCCCGCATACTAATTGTTACAAATTGAGCTTGCTTAAACGAATATTATTTATAAAAAGGAGTTTCCGCTCAGGATATTGAAAATTATCAAGGATAAAAATTACATTTTACAAAATTCAGGTTTCCCTGAAAAACAACGCTAAAGCAATTTTCTAATTTACATTTCACAGTAGGCCTTGTCGAAAACGTGATTTTCTATTAATTGCAGTAAAGTAGTAACATCAGGATATTCTGATGCCAAACACGAGAGTTAACAAAAACAATAAGATATATGACAGGTAAATAAAAAAGACCTCATATAAAACATTGTTCAAAAATCTAAATACAATGACTGACATCTTTATATATTTTTTTCACAAAAAGATAATTTAGCGACATATACAAATTTTGTTTTCGATATCTTGAATATATCGCATATCGAATATGTATATTTTATAATATTAATTAATTAATTTTATAATATTTCTAGAATTAATTATAAATTGTAAACGTACCTACAATAAACAACTCGATAAACATAATATAACATTTTATAGGAAATGTTGAAAATGTCCACCTTAAAATTTTAATTTCCGGGCACATTTAAATTACAAATCTCGACGGAGAACGAATTTTTTCTTTGATTAAATTCAAGAACTTGCAAGTAAGTCCAGTCCTGTAATTCATGTTCAACATAAGTCACTTATTTCTATATTTGAATTTCTATATCGAAGGCAAAATAATGCAATTACAAAAAAGCTGCGCAACTGTAAATGCTCTGAAATGATGCTTTTAGTTTACCTGTAACTGTGGAAAATAATACACTCATGGACAAAATTATCGTATAATTTTTGTTATCACTATTACTCAAATACGATTTTAAATTAACGGTGTAAAATTATTAGTTATTTTCTATCACGCGTATTGTCACTTAAAAATTCCTCACATAATTCAAGAAACATAGTGAATTAAGTTATTTGTAGTGAAGCTTAGTAAGTGTTACTGATTTTAATTTGTTATTTCCTCTATTTAAAAATAAAATATGCCACCAGTTAGACACTGCAGTGAAGCTGAGGCGGCGCAAATTGTAACTCTACATGAAGAAGGGTATAGACAAAAAGATATTGCACGACGTCTCAGGAGAGGTCAATCTACAGTATCGAATATTTTAAAAGTGTATCAAGAGACTGGAGATTTTGTGCGAAAGCCTGGTCAAGGGCGCAAAAGGTGTACAACAGCCATTGATGACCGGTTTTTGATCCTTACTTCTGCCCGAAATCGCACATTGACACCCACACACCTTAAAAATGAGTTATTAAATGTTAGACAAGTTAATGTTAGTTCGAAAATTGTTAGACGAAGATTGAAACAAGTAGGTTTAAAGCCAAGACGGCCTGCCAAAGTTCCACGACTTCTCCAAAATCACAAAACTCAGCGATTAGAATTTGCCAGAACGCATATTCAGTGGGATATCGAGAATTGGAAAAATGTTCTGTTCACTGATGAGACTAGAATACAATTATGGAAGCCAGATGGACGAAATCACGTCTATAGAAGAGTTGGAGAACGATATAACAGCTGCAATCTCATACAGACTGTTAGTTTTGGAGGTGGCGGCATAATGCTTTGGGGAGGCATAAGTTGGGAGGGACGCACCGAACTCGTGGAAGTCATTGGACGAATGACCAGTGACTGGTATATCGAAAACATTCTCCAAGATCACGTTTTGCCATATATGGGTCACATTGGATACGACAGGTTCGTATTTATGCACGATAACGCTCGACCACACGCAGCTGGCATAGTGACTAATTACCTTGATACAGTGCAGATTCAAAAATTAGATTGGCCGCCGTATAGCCCAGACTTAAATCCTATTGAACACTTGTGGGATCAACTAAAACGCCGCATACGACAAAGAAATCCTGTTCCAAATACTCTAGAAGAACTTCGACTTGCAGCACAATATGAATGGAACGCAATTCCTCAAGATTTTATTCAAACTCTAATTAGTAGCATGTTGAGAAGGATGCAAGCAGTAATTAGAGCTCGAGGTGGGAATACTCGTTATTAACTATGCTCTATTATTCAAATCAAAAGAGAGTATTTGCTTATTTAAGTAACATTTAAGTTAAAAATAATTATCCTTAATTTTCATATTACTTAGCATAATTTTTTTTTACTACTTTCTATTGATAAAGACTTAATATTCTTTATTTAAAATGTGTAAAATAAACTATTATTTCTTCTATAACGCGTTTCTTTCGGTAACATTTACTAATAACTTTAAAAAATGCGAAAATTTAAATATTTGATAATTTTGTCCATGAGTGTATATTTTTTTAAATGTGACTGAAAATTTTTAGTAACAGACTACTAATACACCTAGGCATTGAAGGTTTTCCGAAAATTCCATAAAGCATACATAAAACCGAAAAAGTTGATTATCTTCAACTAAATTCTAGTCTGTTTAGAACAATTAATTATTCGAATAATATCAGTAATTAAAGCTACTTAACCAGATTTTAAATATCCTTAAAATGGTCTTCTGAAAAATCGCTTTAAAAAAATTGTAGCAAGCCATGGTTTACAATTAGACCATTGGTTCAACAGAGGTACATCCAGGAGGATACTATGTGCAGAAAAAATATATTCAAATTGTGTCCCTCAAGAAATGTTAGAGGGTCTTGGTTTTTGTTAGGCCACACTTTTTGATAAAGACGAGAAACTTGATTAAACTCGTTACAATAAAACAAACTGTTAAAAGAACAAAAATCTTATATTTAGAAAAAAAAGTATCATTTTATTCAATTTAAAATACTGCACAATGTAGACGATATACGTAAGATAAATTAAATAATTTCTTGTAGCACTTGTTTTTTCAATCGGTCCTACTAATTTTCGGCCCTAATTTTCAGATCTAATTCAGCCTAAAGAGTCAGTCCCTTGGGGTTCCTGCTCGTCTTATCTACTTGCTAAATTTTCTGGTGCATCTTTACTTTTTGACGATAAATTGTCTCTGATCCATTTGACGCAAAGTCCAAGTTTAATGTTTGCCTTCTTAATTTCACCTGAAAACGCAAGTGTTTAAATTAATGAAATAAAAAACACTGTAAAAGCAGAAATATTGTTTATAGAAATACACATTCCTGTGATGATAATCGGGAAATACGCAAAATATTGGGTCGGTCGGTGGCCGAGCAGTTCAAGGCGTTAGTACTTGAATCGATGAATGCCCCTGACGAGTTCGAACCCGTATATCAGGTGGTTACGGTAGGGTGAAAGAACATTGGATTGGATCAATGTGTGTGATTATTACCGGCGGCATTTGATCATACCCCTATTTAATGAGGTTTTTTAGGTTTATCTCTTGCTGCATTGAATGACGGTTAGGGCTTACCAGCGTAAGTCGTACCTGGGCGTACATGCGGCCTACTGAATAATAATAAGCCGCCTCCTCTCCCGCACAAGTCTCCGACCTCTGAACCAATCCTTGCTATTAGAATGGGGGGTAGAGATATTATTATTATTATTAGTTACATGCTTTGAAAACTGTGTAAGGATCCCAAAAGTATTGAGAAATATAAAAATTATTGCAATTAAGAAACATTACTACTATCTATTAGAATCCAACATACATAAATGTCCATAAATAGATTAAATATAATTTGGTAAGTAAAAGACAAATTGAACATGTACATACAACATTAAAAGTACATTTATAGTGTATTCTAAACGACGCAAAAACAAATAAAGAAAAAATACAAAACAATATAATACATAATTAAAATACCCAGTAATTTTATGTGAGCATTATTGGATAATTGGATCAATATTGGATAATTGCTTAATAATTCCACAGACAGTATAGCTTATCGCCTCAGACCGCGCTTTAAATGTTGGAAACTGGCAACCTAAAAAGGATGCATGGTCTTGTTAGCTAGCATCCAGCAATTAAATTTAGCGTGGTAACTCTTCTACCCGGTAATAGGAGGCAGTTCTAGCGGTGACTTTGTTCCCAAATAATAACTGCCAAATAAATTTAATGCGTTTAATTATGTAATTAAAGAGATATGGAACTTATCTTTTGTTTGGTAACCACATTTGTATTAAATACTAAATAAAATAAAAATGTAAAATTTCCTTAAGAATATTACCTTAATTTTTTATTTAATAAAATTGTTGGAACTTCAAGAGGTGGTTGATACGACATTTATTAAAAAAAACAAATCATCAATCAATGAGAGATAAGATAATGCGTTCACTACTGCTGTTGCAATTTTTGACTAACTTTTTGTTTTTTGGCATACGAACTTCCATTCTTCCATTCAACGCAGAACGGACAATCACAACTAGGGTGTGGGGAGATTTTCTTAATTATTTTTTCGATTCAACGCACCGTTTCCGAGTTATAAGACCTTTTTTTACTGTATCACCTCACACACTTCTTGTTTCCGAAATTTATTTTCAACATACGAACTTCGGACATTTTGCATTCAACGCAGAAGAGACACAAAATTTGGGGTTTGGGGAGATTTTTCAATTATTTTTTCGATTCTTTTTATTCTATGATGTCACACCCCGTTGGTTCTAATTTTTTTTTTCGGCATGCGGACTTCGGACGTTTTTCACTCGATCACCAATCAGAACCATGGGAGATTTTTTGATATTTCGAGTCATTTCCGAGGCACAAGCAAATACTATTTTTTTTTTTCTTTCATATATTGTGACACTCCGCTCTGCTTCACCCACCTAGTGCTCTACTCAGAACCAAGGGGAGATTTGTTTATATTTCCAGCCTTTTCCAAGTTACGAGCAAAAACCGTTTATTTATCATTATCAGAATAACCCATTTTAATTTAAAAAATTTAAAAAAATTAAAATGGGTTATTCTGATGACGAAAAATAAAACATAATTAAAATGTATTATTCAAATAACAATAATGGGCAAAAATTCTTCAGGAATATCGACAAATTTATTTTGGAGGATGAATCCCGTCAACGAACACTGTAAAATTAATAATAAGAAACCTTAGGTGGCCAGAAAACAGCCCCGACCTCAGTCCTTTAGACATATTTTTGTAGGGACACTTCAACAAAATATATTACTAAAGTCCTCAAAATTTACAAGTATTGAAAGAAAAAATAGAGGACGAAATGTTTGATAATTCGGAATTTGTTTTTAAAGCAATAAATAGTAAATTAAAGCATATTTTCAATTGTATCATCACAATTACTTGCATGTTGAAAATTTGTAAAAATTGTAGGTATTTTAATGTTATTTCGTTTTTAGGTATTCTCCTTATGTTGTTATAAAGGTTAGTAAAAATCGTTGTTTGTTATTTCAATAAGGATGAATTTTAATTTTTTTAATATTTTTTTTACTTTAAACATATATTTTATGCCAACAAATTTTGATATCAAAAGATATAAAGGAAAAGTCGTACATTTGTATTTAAAGTTTCTTTCTATCTTTAATTATTAAACCTATTAGTGGATATCAAAAATACAAAAAAAAAAACTATATCTACATTCCGCGACGTACTAATAAACCCACCTTGTATATTAAATAAATTTATCATCATCATCAAATATTAAAAAAATTATATTACTAACTGTTTAAAATATTACGAATTCTGTTTATTTGGAAATATATTCTCTGCAGTATTTCAATACCAAAAAATGAAAATAGTAGCTAATTAACGAAATTATGATTGAATAACCTAATTGTGACACCGCTGCAGAATATCATATATGAAACTACATAGAGATTCGTTTATTCTTTAAAACATTTTTATCAATACCTACATCATACATTTAAGTAAATACAGCAACGCAAAAACCAATATTGATAAAAAAAGTGTACAAAATAAATCCGCAAGTACGCCTGACAATATTGCGAAAATGTTGTTTATATGTTGCTAGGATACGCGTAAGAATGTGGGCCTCTGCATTTGATTCTTCCTAAAATTCTGCTGCTGTTCTATCGTCAATTCGCAAATTTAAAGCTGCTCTCCTATCCCAGTAGCGGTCTGAGCCGATAGCTATTTTGTCTGTAGTAATTAGAAAACATTTTCCTTACACTAATTACACCGACACACAGAAAAACAGTATCACTTTCCAAGATTGTTTTTTATATGCCAGTGTTATTAATATATTCATAATAAGGAAGAACTTACTTATATTCGTGCAGTTTTGATGATAGAGATTTGGCTTCTTTGGAACCTTTGTCTCGTTGAACCTTTTACGCAAAAAATTCTGAAAATGTTGAAAATAAAAAATCTAAAATAAATTTTATTTTTATAAAACAATTTCACCTGCAACCCTAAAATTTCAAATAGAGAAAAATTGAAACATGTTAATTTAACAATTGTTTCATAATATACGTTTATTAATACACTGAAAGAAGTATTCTTGATTTAGAAAGGATAAATTTAGATGAAAACGATTCAAAAACGTCCAGAAAACTTCTCCAGAAAGCCTACAATTTCTGTTATGCCAATTTTTCTAGTTCATTTTCATTTAATTTCTGCTTGAAAAAAATCTTACCATGTACATTTCTACCTCTTCTTTGTACCCACTGCATGTCAGTTCAGTAACGATGATATCATGGAACTCGAAGAGATATATCCACTGTTTCTGGTGATTTACGTGCTTCATTAAAGTAAATAGAACGGTGCAGTCGATGATGCCGAATTTGAAGGAATATGTAGCTTCGTTTATGAGCAATTGACTCTCTTCTAAAGATAGATCCTGTAATATAACGCAACTCTGCCATTATTCGGGAATAGACAAAAAAATTAAAGGATCGGTTATTAAAATTCATGTTGCAAACTAAAAGTTTATTGATAAAGCTGCCATAAAATTATTTCATACCTCAAAATGCTCTACCAAATCGTTCCATGAATCATCTGAAAAATTTACTTTGTAAACACCGACATCATGCTTATTGAATAGAATCCACTTCGCACTAGGTTCTTCAATGACCACTGCAACAGAATCGCGATAGCTTTTAAATCTTTCACTTATAATTGCACTGAAGTATTTAAATTAGTAGAATTGTGGTCAATTTAATCAAAAGACTTTATGAAAAAAAGGACACCACTTAGTTTTAAAAATAAATTGAGGTACACTGATAAATTTGTGAACAACATAGACTTTTTACATATTAGTAATTCCTGTTTATAAACTTGGTGAAAGGAATAAAGTTGAAAATTATAGACCTATAACATTTATCAATAATTTTTCTAAAGCTTATGAGTTTCCTCTATACAATTTTATTTTTTTATTGTAAAGAATCGAATAAGTGAAATTCAACATGTTTTTTTAAGGGCAGATGCACCACCTCCAACCGTCTGTGTATAACTCAATATATCTCGGGTGTTTTTGATTCGAATTCGCAAGTAGATTTCACAAATGCTTTTGATCGGCTTGATCATGGTGTTTTATTGGCTAAATTAAATAGTTTCGGATTCTCAAAAGACTTACTACACTTCTTTTTATCTTATTTGTTAAATCAGCATAGATTTGTTGAATATCATGGTCGGCTGTCGAAAGAATTTGTAGCTACTTCTGGTGTACCGCAGGGGTTGGCTCTTGGTCCTCTTTTCTTTAATATGTTAATTAATGATATTGTTGTTGGAACTGGTGTTAATTGTTTATTATATGCTGATAACATGAAGCTCTATACTAGTATAAGTAGCGGAAATGTCTGTTTAAATTTACAATCTGCTTTAAAGAAAATTGTTTTATGGTGCAATGTTAATAACTTACAGCTTAGTATTAAAAGTGCATAAGAAATATTGTCAAAAGTCAGTGGGTGGCTTGATTTTCGGCGAGCCGTGGCGTGGCGGAAGGGTGGGGGAAACGAACGACAGCGAGTCCGAAGAAAATGACGATAATATTCATAGTCCTGCCGTTAAATAAGCGAAATTCGCTTGAAAATAATATATTTGACAGTCTGTAACTCCGTTGTTTTTCAACGAATCTTGACGATTTTTTACGATGAACTTAAAGCTCTTTCCATAAGCTTTCCCAATATGTAATAATATATGACATATTTCATTTTGCAATTAGGGCTAAAAATTAAACCAAATTCCGGTTGGCAATTTTGAATTTAAAAAAAATGATAGATTTCAATGTATTATTACGAAATCTACCATAAAAAAAATTAGTGCGGTTGTGGAAGATCCTCGGGATCGTCCAGACTAACAATTAGTTAATTTGTTTATAAGGCCATAACTTGTAAACTATTAATAATAACGCAGTTTATAAATGTTTAATTCAAAAGTCAATTTCTTCTGTTTATAACCTTTGATCTAATCAATATTTTTCGACGCTCGATGGCTAGTTTTGTAGGTCTTTCGAAGACGAAAAAAAAATACCTTACTGTTTTCTCGTGGAAATGAACGGAAAAATGTTATAAGCGAAAAACGTGAATTTACTTAAAAATTATACAATTAACCACCCTGTAAACAATCTTCCTCCCATTTTTATGACTGTGGAAACTAATATGTACTAATACCTATTTAGCATTTATAGTGATAAATTCAGCTTGCCGAAACAAAAATTCGCGTCCAACTCTATATTTCCTGAGCTATTAGTGATTCCTCTACTTTTAAATTATTATATTCAGCTTTTGTTAGAGCTAAATTAGAGTACTCTTGCATTGTGTGATTACCCTACTATAATATTGAAAGAGTTCAGAGACGTTTCTTAAAGGCTACAGTTTTTAGAGAGGATTTCAATTATGCACCTATTGGTATCCCGCAATGTGATCTTGTAAATAGATTTTCATTTCGCAGTTTAGAGGAACGTAGAACGATTGCACAATTGATATTTTCATATAAGTTATTACATGACGCAATTGACTGTCCTTCTTTACTTTCATTGTTAAATTTTCGTACCTAGATTTTCATCTCGTTTTTCTTCATTGTTTTATTTACCTGTGTCAAGAATTAATATTCACAAAAATACTCTCCTCTTTTTCAAATGTGTGATAAATACAGGGTGATTCAGAACTTATCAAAAAAAAAAAATTCTGGATGTGCAGGGGACCCTTACAAATACAATTTTGTAAAGAAAAAATCAAAGAGGGCAGTTCGAAAATGATTTAAAAATGCATCACTGCACGGCACTGGAAACTGGTCCACTGTAAAACCTGACCTCGTACAATGCAACCGGCATGGCGGTGTGATAAAAACGGACAAAAAACTTTCGCAAGAAAGAAATAAATATAATTTTATAGCATCTATTTTATATCAGCAAATTCAACTGCTTTTGCCTTTAATGTTATTATTAATTAATAAAATTAATTTTATCCACCAACGTGTAAACATATTTGGATCCGTCTTACTCAGTTTCCACGAACTAACACAAATGCTGTCTTGTTTCACTATAACACAAATGCTTCACCATAAATTAAAACGATATCCATCAACTCCGAGTTGCTATACACGCATTACACAACTATTTTTGACACTAACTACTAAAAAACTATTGTAAACAGCACAGATAACAGATAAACACTATCGCAACGACGATTGCAAAATCGGATTTCAGTATTCGGAGTCGCTGAGGTCAGGTGGCTCTCCACGCGTATTGCGAATGACGCTAGAGGCTACAGTTATCCAGCTATGTAGTGGTTGAATGTACTATAACTTCAATAATTTTTTTCTCGGAAACTATAAGGATTTTACAAAAAATTTTTTTACGATATTGACTCCATTTCTCATGCCGCATCTATTACCAAATTTTTTTGGATAAGTTGTGAATCACCCTGTATAATCTGTTTCAAAATCAGTTTCATATTTTTAATTGTAATATGCTGCATATGCTTTAATGAAAGAAACATTTTGGGAAGACTTACATTGATCCATATCCTGATCGAACCATTTCAGAGTTGGTGTTTTGTTGGTGTCTGTAATATACGTAATGGGTATGGTCCACCTTTCCCTAAAAAATTCAAATAAAATAATACAAAAGTAACAATTCCAAACATAAAGCTTGTTTTAATGGTTTTACTGTAGAACATTGTATTAATAAAATAATAGTTCTATTATTGAGTTTCTAGTAATTATAAATTTGCAAAAATTTACCCTGAGCTCAAAAATTTCGCGACAGTGGCGCATGTCTCTTGCTGCAAGATGAATTTCCCATCAGAGCGTACCACCTTAACGATTGGAAATCTGCTTTGGTACAGGTAACTTTCAAGGAAACCCCTCAGGTGTACGTCTGGGACCACCTCTTCGACTGTGGATATAAAGTCGTTAGTGGTTGCCGTCTTGAAGGCATGCTTTTTCAGGAACTTGCGTATCACCTGCTGAAAAGCTTTTTCACCGATGACGTTCTCCAGCATCAAAAGTATAGACGGACCCTAAAATATAAAACTCACCTATGAGCAAACTTTTCCTATTAAAGAATTTAAATAATTACATCCAACCTCTTCTCACAATACAAGGAGCAAGCAATAAGCGCGAAAAATGAAGGAGGTGATTCCTCGTAAAAAATTGAGGGGTATCTTTCATGCAGTTCCTTTATGGACTTGCCAATGATAACTCTTTAAAAGCATCTCGAATTTACAATGAACTATATCCTCAACGTATTACCTCTCATCACACCTTGTTATACAGTTTTATGAACCGAGTGACACTAGAAGTTGAAGAAAAGAACGTATGATTATAGTGGCCTCAACTGAATTAGAATACTGCCTTTGAAAGAAGCAGTAATGAATTTAATCCATGAAAAATCGGAACACTAGCTCTAGAAAAATTGCTTTGCAATTAAATATCAATAATATGACTTGGTCAGTCATCTTAAAAGGACAAACATACCTCTTTCACATATGGGTGCAGGTTGTTTTACCGCTAGGTTTTCCGCAACGTCTTGCATTTTCACCGGAAAATATTGAGCAAAATCTAGAGTTATGGGTACAGATCTTGTTTACAGACGAAGCAAATTTTTCAAGAGAATCGGTAATTAATTATCACAATGATCCCATATGTACAAAAACCCGCATTCATCATTGACACTCTTTTCTCTGAGCTGGACTGGAATTCTTTTAGACCACTTAATTGTTCCATAATTTCTACCACCTAGATTGAATGAAGATACTTATACTCACTTTCTCGAAGAAGTACCTTTAGATGCTAAAGCTCAGTTTTGATTTATACATGATGTAGACGTATTGGCGTAAGAATATTCAATCCAAGCATATTCAAATCGTCGGATATGCCGTATAACCTCAGTTTTCGCCTTCCCCACCACCCGATTTAAGTCTTATAATATATGAAATAATTTAAAAGCATTAGTTCTAAGACACCTGTGCATAATTTTGCAGGATTGAACAATCTCATTATTACATATGCTATAATATAATATGCAGGAATTTTTAATCGGATATGTGGATATTCTTTTACTTCGAAAACTATTACAAAAAATAAAAACTAAATTTTTCTCTCCCTGTTTGAAGGACCACTAATTCCCACACTAAGAGTTCCACAATTTTCAACGAAGGATCCTCCGTAACTTTTTCGCAGTTGTTTATTTTTCCTCTGTATATAAAAGTTTTAATAATACTAAAACATCTTAAATTTTCTTAAATTCAATTTTTAAATAATGTTTTTTTCTGCTATTAAAAAAAGAACTAAGAAAGTTAATTTAGTTAACATACATGGTGTTACTTAAGTACTTAGCCAAACTTCAGAGGGTGATTCTTTGAGTGATTTTAAGATGAAAGGTTTCCGGTAATGTTTCGTTTTCAAGATACAGGGTGTCAAACTTTAAAAAAAATAGTTTTTCTGTTAAAAGCTTAATCCTTTAGCGAATTTTGTTAAAATTTGACAGTGTCATTTATGGTAGAAAAGGGTTAATTTAGCCCTAACTAGACTAAAATTATTAAGTCCAGTGGCGTCCGAGGGGGGGCACCTTAACCAGTATTTTCGACAAAAAAAAAATGTGCGTCACTGACTGTTTTAAAACTTTTATAATTTGTTTCACAGTAAGCAACACAAATATAAAGTTTTTGTCTCTTGAATTTTTTTCGCAACTTGCTTCCTTTTGAAGAAAAAAAATGTTGCGAAAAAAGTTCGAGAGGCAAAAAAGTTGTATTTTTATTTGCTTAACGCGAGAATAGTTATAAAAGTTTTAAAACAGTCAAAGGCGGACATTTTTTTGGCAAAAATATTGGTTAAGGCGCTCCTCGGTACGCCACTGACATAATTCTAATCTAGTTAAGCTAAATTAGCCACTTTCTACCATAAATAACATTGCCAAATTTCAGCAATATCGGTTAAAGGATTATAAAGATTGTGACGAAAAAATGATTTTTTTTTATTAAAGTTTGACACCCTGTATTTTGAAAACGAAGTATTACGGGACCTATTTATATAAATTTTTCATCTTAATCACTCAAAGAATGACCCCATGAAGTTTGGGCACGTACTTAGTCACCACTAATTATGCAGAAAAGACGAGCTATTATTGTTTTCATTTGCTGTAGGACATACCTACTTTGATAAAAAATATCCTACCTTGTTGTACACAATCCTGTCAAATCTTTGCTCTAAAAGCTTCTGCGATGTCAAATAATAAACAATTGGATTGCTAGGTAATTTCTCGCTAGCTTCTTCATAACCATCAAAGAAGAAAGTTCTGGATTCCTAAACTTGAAACATGTCAGATAAAAAAATCACTATTTTATACCTACTGTTGATAAACACGACTGGTTAAACGCATGCATGCTTTTTTATAGAAAATTCAATACCATACTCTTACACCGTGCTATTATTGTTTTTTTTTTTTTTTAAACATGCAGCTTGTTTTATATAACATCCTTCGAGTTGTTATAACTTAAAACAGTATATTAAAAATTGTGTTTAGATATTTTTCCACAAATATAGAAGCAAGCAAGCAATAATGATGACTGTAACATTTAACACAATTTTAAAATACTGCAACAAAATACTTTTTTTGCAAATTATAGTTACATTTAGTTTCATTCCTGGCGACTCAGCTAGATATAATTTGTAACTCATGTACGTAGCAAAGCCCTCTTGAAGCCATAGGTCGTTCCAAAAATCATTCGTGACTAAAAATTAAAAAATATTCCGATTAATTAAGTAATTACTTTTTTTGTAGTATATCTCCAGTTACTGGAATATTGGCAATAATTTCAAAATTCCGATGGTAAATATTCATGGACTCACCTAAATTTCCAAACCAAAAATGTGCTAGCTCATGATACATTACAACTTTGATTTGACTAGCGTCGAATATATCTAAATTAAGGGTAAGTAGTCCTTCTCTAAAAGTGATTAAACCCCAGTTTTCTGTAGCAGCACTTTGGGGTCTGTCATATTCTATCATGTCTATCAAAGAGAATAATAAAAGTTAAAATAACAATTTTCGATATTATATCTAACCGCTTATACAGCGTACTAAGTTGAAGTAATAAGTACAGTTTATGAAATAAAAATTTATACAGGGTGATTATTTGAATATCGCAAATGTAAAACTGATATATATGTCCCCAAAAATGCAATATATGAATACAATTTGCTTAAGATTATTAAGTATGCGTTCACACTTATCCTGTTGCTCACGAATTATGTTTGTGGCATTGTCGATGACTTGCACTACGTCTTTTTGACTATTAATTGGTTGAGTTTATACCTAGTCCTTCATCTTCTTACTGTTTTTTTAATACATTGAAATCTATCATTTTTTTTTTTATTTTCAATTTTGCACCTTGAATTTTTTTTATTTTTTAGCTTTAGTTGCAAAATGAAATATACGACGCAAGAGTGTGATATAGTTTTATATTATTACATATTCGGAAAGCTTATGAAAAGAGCTTTAAGTTAAAAAAAAAATCGTCAAGATTCGTTGAAAAACAACGGACTTACAGACTGTCAAAGTTGACGGCCTATTGTTAAACAAATTAGGTGGGTAGCGGCAAAGAAAATACTGTCATAACCGGTACTTTCCCAGATAAAAATATTTTATTTGTGGAAGTGTGTTAAGTGCATAAGAAATATTGCCAAAAGTCAGTGGGACGCTTGATTTTCGGCGAGCCGTGGCGCGGCGGAAGGGTGGAAGAAGCGAACGACAGCGAGTCGGAAGAAAATGACGATAATATTCATAGTTGTCCTGCCGTTAAATAATTCGCTTGAAAATAATACATTTGACAGTCTGTAACTCCGTTGTTTTTCAACGAATCTTGACGATTTATTTTAACTTAAAACTCTTTCCATAAGTTTTCCGAATATGTAATAATTTATAACTGTAACACGCTCGTGCGTCGTATATTTCATTTTGCAACTAAGGCTAACAAATAAAAAAAATTTCCGGGTTGCAAATTTGAAATTTAAAAAAAAATGATAGATTTCAATGTATTATTATGAAATCTGCCATGAAAAAAATCAGTGCGATTGTGGAAGATGCTCGGGATCGTCCAGACTAATAATTAGTTAATTTGTTTATAAGGCCATAACTTGTAAACTATTCAACTTACCGATTCCAGATTTCGTGTGTTATTAAACAGTGATAAAGAAAAAAAGTACCTTACTGTTTTCTCGTAGAAATGAACGGAAAAAAGTTATAAGCGATACATGTGAATTTACGTAAAAATTATATAATTAACCAGCCTGTAAACAATCTTCCCCCTATTTTTATGACTGTGGAAACTAATATGTTATTGTACATAATATGTATTTAGCATCTATAGTGATAAATTCAACTTGCGGAAACAAAAAGTCGCGTCCAATTCTATATTTCCTGGCCTACAAATAGAATTGTCAAAGACACAGATTTGACGGATTGCTTTATGATTTTACTCTGAATAATACTTCATCAAGCGGGAATTAAGGGAATAGTATTAGGACACAAAATAAAAAAAATTTATGAGTAGTAGTAGTTTAACATACTGCCGAGTTATAATAAATCACCCTGTATGATTTACATTAAGTCACTTGACGCGATCTTTACTTACCCAATTTCGGTAAAGGGTAACTAATATTCGTATATTCGGTGTAGAATTGTAGAGCTCTCTTTGTACAATTCACAGCGAATTGATTGTTTTCTTGACTGGCGTTGTAAGTGTACACCCTTATTGGTACTGTCCTGTCAGGTTCCTCCAATAAATCCTCATAATATGAATACTTGGTCAGGGCAAACGATACGAGGTAAGTAGACATTGTCACTGATGTAGCAAAGTCATAGACGACTCCTTGCGGTGTTGTAAATCTGTTCTGTAAGCGAATGACGAACAGTACATACCTACTGTAATGGCAAAAAGTAGTGAGTTAAAATTTGGAGATATACAGAGTGAAATTTGAACAATCACTAAAACTTAGCCATAGCTTTTGCATTATTTGTGGTACTCATTTATTTTTAATATACATCATACACATGAGCACCAATAATAGAATATTGAAGTCCACACTGGGAAAACTCCCAGTCTATAGAAGAGGTTTTATCTTATCATATTAACCGTATTAGGCGATAAGTTATTTTTTAAAATCATTCACACGTTTCTAAATGTTTGTTACGGGTATTGCAAATGTTGCGATTCTCCGGCAAAATGTCGATCCAAATTAAATTTTTCGTGTGATAAACGGTGCGTGATACTTACGATCTCGGGCATGTTTGAAATGGCCTTATAGGTGTCATCGGGCGCTACGAGCCTTATATTGAATTTCGATTTAAATGCAGGCTCGTCGAAACATGGAAAAGCTTTCCTGGCACTTGACGGCTCGAAGTCTGTTACCAAAAGATGTCTGAAATCAAATAGATTTTGTAAGAGGGCTTACATTTACACACTTTCTTTTACTACCAAGGAACACACAACCCCGTTTGGTAGCAAACTTGCTATATAATGGAAATTTGAAATAAAAAATATATAAAGTGCGAAAAATTTATAGGCAACTCCAGTCGTAAAAATGATGGAAAAATTTGTTATGACGCTTTTCTGAAAACTCAATGTTAACAACAATTTTACGTACTATTTTATTTAGTTAAATGCCACCGATACCCTGTATCTCCGCTACTGGAGCATGTAAATTTTAGGAAAAGCCCTCAGATTTTGGATAATGTTTACATAAATATATGTGTCCAATTTCAAATTATTTCACTTAGGTACTACTTTTTAAATTATTTAAAAAAATTTAAAATATTTTTTGAAGTTTAACACCCTGTATCTTTTTGATGAAGAGTCCTAGATAAAAACTTTACAGGAAATACCTTTAAATTCACCAAAGAATACGAGGTTTTATTTTTGGTCACCATTTGTGAATCACCCTGTATAAAACAGTAAAATACTGTCAACTATAAGTATTTTAGAGAGAGAAAGAATAATATTCAAAATTTAAATAGTAAATTTTTACAAAACTACACTATAAAAACTTCGAAAACCCTCAAATTACATCGAAAAATCTGGAATTCCTTTAAAAACCTCTGCACATTGAAATATTTCAATGTAGGCTTCATAATACATACAAGTTATTCAAATTCGCGGTAAAATACAGTAAAACTTTTTCAAAATGCCTAAAAAATAGTAAACTCTTCCGAAACACTAAAATTTTCTAAAATTCTCTAATTACATTGAAATATTTCGAATTCATTTAAAAAGTAAAAACCACAAAGTAGTTCAAAACCATTTTTTACCGTCCACTGACTGACATTTGGCTTCTAATAATTGTCACTTGATATTCAGCTTTTGACATTTGACCCCCTATAATTGATTTTTGGTCCGCTTTTACTGACCTTTGCCATGCGATCACTGACCTCTGCCCTATAGTACAAAAACGACTAAATACTAGAGACTTGTTTGTTACCCAACTATATTGTCCATATGTCTGGACTTAGATGTTCTTAGAATGGTCCACCAATTTGAACCATTCTAGAACCGGTCTTTGTCGGTACCAAAGCACACTTTAGATCACTTAATTTAATAAATAATTTAAAAAATAATCAGCGATAACATGAAAGTAAACAATTTTAATATCAATGTTTTATAGTTAAGTGTTCTTAGTGTACCTACACCAGTTTTGCTCAAAGTTAAAAGGTAAGTCAATATTAACCAATTTCAATGTTTTTACAACGTAGGTGTGATTATTATTAAAATAAACAATTGCAAATAATAAAAAATATCCTTCTCACCCTTCTTCCCCGTTATAACTGAATGGCGACTTCGTAAACCCAATTTCCTGCCTTTGGAGCGTCCCCTTGTACTTAATAAACAAAACGTGCTCCCCAGGTTGAATCGATTCGTTGGCATAACGCAGGGACAATTTTTCGTCATCTTCATTTTTAAATTCTGCAACCACGCGATTAATGAAAGCCTCGGTGATGTTTAGACTCGAGCTGTGCAGGATAACTTTGTCAAGGACGTTTTTCGCCCTAACGTGAATGGACACTTCTCCATCGAAAACTTCCTCGTCTACGTACGGGCGTATCCTTAGAGAGTAATGGATTGGAGTTACGTCGGTAGGAAGGCGGTAGCTTCGTATTTCTGTAAAAAGTGAATTTTTCTTTAATTTTATCCGTTTCGTGAAATAATCAGGTATCTGTGTACGTTATTTAATATAAATAAAAAGGATATTATGTAGCTTTTACCAGTGACGGAACATCAAAAGTTGAACAGGTATATTGATTGAACCATAATATCTATTGTCACATAATTTCATAAATTCATTTATGAATTTCAGAAGTACGACAATCCGACAAATAAGTAGTTTAAGATTGTTTTAATATACAGTAGGTCTTTTTCAGCAAGCCATAAAAATGTTGGGAACTCCAAGCAGTTTCTAACATTTCTAATTATTTGCTGAATAAGATTCGGTAACAGCTGTTTCTGCTTCAAAGAAGTTTAGAAGTTTAGAAGTTTAGAAAAGTGTAAAACTAAAACTTTTATAAATAAACTGATGAATATTATCAATGATCCATTCATGTATAAATTGTCAATGTAAAACCGCTACGGCACACTAAATTATTTGGCGCAACAGTTCAATTATAAAACAAATATAATGCCAGACATTTCGTGTACATAAAAGAATTTGTAGATATTTATATAGAAAAAACCTCCACTTTTCTTTGAAGTGTAAAAATGGAGCTTATAAAGTTTGCTTAATGCCATGATAAAATAGGCGCCTATAAAAAATTTCCCGTATTTCTTTCTTTTTTTTGAAGAATAAATAAAAATCCTATTGTACGGGCTCCTTAATACGATTACCAAACTTCTACAGGGTATTCGTTACCTAAAAATATCACAAAAAATGCAACTGTACTAGACGGAAATATACATAGGGTATTATAATTAGGTGTAAAAAACTTAAGCAGTTTCCTCAAACCACAACAAAGCAATTAACTAAATCTACTTATGTAGCAAAATGCTTTCCTAAAAAATTACAGGCCCTCGAAAAAATGTTGTTTTTATAATTTTCTTACGATGACTGAATTTTTGGGATAGTCAGACACTAATATAGGCTTATTTTTGTGCCTAGAACATAGATGTCACTAGAAACACCTTAGGCAGCTATTAGTTACTAGCAATTTTTTTTGTTAGTCACTTGACTGTAAAAAATGTATACGTTGATTGATAAAGAAATTAAAAAAAATAAATTTCGTTTATTGGTTGTCGAGATATGAGCGGTCAAAGTTTATCGGCATTTACCGTTAATTTATAAACAATAACAATCTTTGATCCAGTGGCTTCGTTTTTCCGGGATCTAAGCTGGAAAAAAATTTCATATCGATAAGTTATCGGCAACATAGATAAATCAGCGGAAAAGCTGTCGCTCGCACGCGCGAATAGTGACTCAAAACACGAAAAGTGGGGGACAGGGCTTTCGCTCCGAGACTGAATTCGGAGGACCAAAATGCGAAGGTACGAAAAAAATTTCTTTATCTCGGCTTCTAATGGACCAATTTCGATCTTTTTGTCTCGCCAGCGAAGAAATTCGAATATCGTAATTATTTGTCTATGTCTAATTTGCACATATTTTGTTATAAACAAATTTATTATTTATGCATTACTATATATTTTACCCTGTGCTATCACATCTTTTCAATGAAAGAGTTTGTTTACATATATATTTCAACACTGAATATGAATGTATTTAGTTATAATTATTACAATTATTTAAATAATTTTTGTTTAAACAAATTAAAAAAAAAAATTTTATTTGGAAATTAGTTTTTTTGTTAAATACAGATAAAATTAAGAAAAAATTCAATACAAATTGATAAATGTAATCTAATTGTTTAAAAATAAAAAAAAGAGTGGTAACTTTAAAAATTTACTGTGGCCGTCCTAATCAACCGATTTCAATTTTTCAAAAACCATTTGAAAGGTTGAGCTGTCTTTTCTATGTGAAAAAATCTCGAGTATCTAGATCAAGGGTCGGCAACTGGCGGACCGCGGTCCAGGTCCGGACCGCAGAAATTAAAATACTGGACCTCCAAAATTTTTTTTAAAGTATAAATTGCTCAAATAAATTATTTAAAAAATGTTTTTTACGTTTAAGTGCCAATCTTATCATTTTTTCTAGTATTTTACAATTGTGTGTGTTTTGAGTTCTTAATGGTTAGTAAGTAGATTAAATTTGAGTCCAAATTAAATTAAAAAATAAGAAATGTGAATTTTTTTCTGGACCTCGTTAAAAATTTTCAAAAGTATCCGGACCCCACCTAAAATTACTTGCCGACCCCTGATCTAGATGCTTTATTTGAGGCTGTGCAACATTTTGAAAATTCGAACTTTTATTCAAAAAATTATTTTGCGAAAACTATCGAACAGATTTTAATGAAATTTGGTGTGTTGTTTTATTATACTCTAAAGTTTTTTTACCGAAGTAGAATGCCCTCGGAGCAATTAAAATATGTTTAAAAAACTATCCAAAAAACTTGATTATTTTGCCTTTTTTTCATCAATTATTGCTATTTTGCAACATCGGTAATAAATTGAAACATTTTTAACTTACAGTATGTTGTGCAAAATTCAAATCTAAAACTTTTTTTCCTCTTCAATTCTTTATAAATTTAATTTATATTTCTTTCTTTTTTTATATATATTTTATATTTAATTAATAAATCTTAATTAGTTAGCATCAAGCTTATTTTTGTTACTTAATTTCTATTCATAAAATGCCACGTCTTGAATCGGCACGATTCCGCGTGCGCGAGCGGCGAGAAGAAGAAAAGAAAACGAGAAGTGACAGAAAGGCGAAGACGCGTATCCTAGGTGAAAAAGAGTGCTCGCTAATTAAAATTTTCGCAAAACGCATAAATATCCAGTGCCGAAGAAAACTCTGAAATCATCGAAGAAAACTACGCCGAAGAGTAAGTGACGATTCAATTCGATTTCATTGTTCATACAGTCCATTTACTTTTCTTTTTCTTACACTGAACCAGCGCGTAACGCTAAATAATATGAAATTTACAACATCAATATTCTTCCAAAATGCATAGATTCCAAGATATAAGTAAAAAACTCGGATAAAATAGGTATTTTTAAAAAATTTTTAAACACTTGCGATTTTGAAAATGTTCCGGACCTCGCCCAGATCTAGGAATCTACACTTTTATTATGTGAGTTGTACTGAAGGTAATCCAGAAAAAATTTGCTTGCCCCCTCTCACATCCACTTCAAAACAGATCCGCCCTGATCTAATAGTATTATTATACTATTCATAGTGTATTTAAATGGCGAAGCATGTTGCTACCCGATAATCTTAAGACAAGGGTATTACGATTGATGAAATAGGTACCTTAGTCTAAAGTTGTTTCATTGACAAGTTATATATTAATAAAACTTGGGCTGGTGACGTAACAAAATAAAAGTGAAAATTCGCAAATATTTTCTCTAATATGTGCTTGTTTTTCCAATAATGAAATGTTTCCTCACTGTTAGATGTACGTGACAGAATGTTTATACAAAACAGGAAAAGAGTGTCTCCGCCTTCAATTTGCAAATTAAACGTTTTACTCAAGATCTTTAATTTGCTGCTTCATAATTATTGCAAATTGAGTTTGCTAATACGAAGGTTTGGTTTATGCATAATAAACAGTGTTTTAATTAAGCTACAAACCATATTTACGAGCAATAATTGCTAATTTATTATATTTTCTTAAATATGAAAAAAACAAGAAAATATTACAATTGATTGATGATTTAAAAAAGTTCCATTGATTCAAAACTGTGGTTAGAAATGTTAGGCAATTGTGGTGAAAAATGTATCTATATTTACATAACATACATAAACATTTAGTTTAATGCTGAACCAATATTAAATATACAGGGTGATTCGTAAGTGAACCTACACAAGGCAAGCGCGTATAGGCTGACTCGAAATAAAAGTTTATAAAAATTTAATACCACCAGCGCAGCGTGTCAAATTGCTCGTTAAAAGAAAACATTCCAGCTGTTTTAGAAATTTGTACAGGACTGAAATAACATTATTTAATTACTTGTCACATTCGACAAAAGATTCATAGACTAATATTGAGTTTATTTTGACAGACCAAACTTATTTTTTACTCTATTCTATTATAGAGGTATTAAGCTAATTAAACCAAATTCAAAATGTTTTTTCTAAAAAATCATATTAAATTTTGTCAAACAATGTTCTTCGATATCAGAAATCTAAGTATGCAAAAAATATCTAACCTCACAGACAATATTGCCAACCAACAGCTGGTATTATGGGCTACATTAGTGATGTAAAAAGTTTTCGCAATCGCATTCGCGAATATTCGCATATTTTTTGACATTCGCATTCGTAAAATCTATGCGAATATTTTGCGAATATGAATATCAGAAAAAAATCATATATTTTTTTTTAATGTGAAAATAATATTAAATATAATAAAAAAACATTAATTTCTTAGCATTTTGATTATAATAAAACCGAATATTCGCTTTAGCATTCGCGAATATCGGCGACAGATTCGCGAATATTGTTGAAAATTGTTAAATAATGATGTATTTTGTATTTTTTGTTGTTCTCTCACTACGTTAGACAAAGATAAAGACGTATATCTTTTCTGTTTCAACATTTTACTAGGGCTATTTCATCAGGTAGCCTCCCTAGATTTCTGGTATCGAAGAACATTATTTGACTTCATTTGATTTAATTTTTTACATTTTTTTGTTTAAATTAGCTTAAAAACAAACTTACATCCTGTTTCGTTATCAATAAAACTTACAACTTTCGTTTGAATAATAAATCATTCTTAGTATTTTAACATTTTGCGAGTTACGAGATACATTTTTGAAGAAAGATAAACTTTATCTTTGGATTTCTCAAGTACATATTCATTTCTCCTTATGAATGAGTTATCTGTACACAATATTAATATACGGAATATAATTACGCTATCGTTTGTTGCCTAATTTGTAAGAGTTATCGAAATTCAAGTTCATAGACGTAGGTATTCATATTCCCCAAATAAAAAAACAAATCAAGTACAAATTAACAGTTTCTGTTGCTCAGAATCCCAGATATACATTCCCAGAAAATATCTAATCACGAATGTAAAGTTTATTGTAAAATGTTTAAAAACTACTTTAAAGGGACTGTTTTTTTTAATATTAATGATACATCGTTTATTCAAATTTGTTTATTATTGAAGTTGAATTTGTGTGAAAGAAAGTAGGAATACAAATAATTTTTTAAATCAAGAATAATTATTTATGCCATAATTTTGAAATGAATAAAATTTCTACGCTTAAGGAACATTTTCTTAATGAAAGAGATTTTACTTTAAGATTAAAGTATATGAGCATCAAAAATATAATTCTTTGCGTATAACAAAGTGTAAATAAATAAGTGCAAAAAAATTTAGGGGATGATGATTCCCTATGGAAAAATAAGGTAGGTATTTCATATAAAAAAATTTCATTTGAAGATAAAACCGCTTAAATAGGGTGTCAAAAAAGTAGTTTTTAATTTTTTCTGAAATACCAAAAAAGCGACAGGAATGAAATTAAGTAGACATTTTCTGCTATCGAGAAGGCACTCAGTAAACAATTTGTTGCTTTTCCCCTACAGTTATAAGGGGTAGAAAAAGCCACACGTATGACTTGTTTCATACATAACATTTTTACTTACCATTTAAAAATAATTCATTTTAAATAACTTACTCAACAAAAAAAGGTCTCCTTGTAATTTTTTCATAAAATTAACGATTTCTGAGCAAAGAAATATTTAAAATCAACATGGCATGATTGGCATAGGGTAGAAATTTTATAAAACCGTAATTTATCTAGTAGGCGACTTTTGCGTTGACATTTTGTAATGTCAACTTAATTGTTATAATTAATTCAATAATTTTATTAAATATGTGAATATTGTAAATTATTAAAAACTAATAGAAATTGTATTAAATGTTGAAAATGACCACCTGAAATGAATATACTATAGTTATAAGTGTGCAGACTATTAACATGTAGACGAAAAAACAAATGAAGCAATATAATAATAATAATAATACTAAAAAAGTGCATAATTGAAAATGTTTTCTCAAAATTGTAAATCCTAAGCCTACTACGATTTTAAAAGATTGTATTAGCAATTTTTTATTCAAAATCTAATCACTCGACCCCAATTCATACAGAAAAGAGTAACAAATTCATTGAAAATAAATAGAAACATACGAGGAACTCTATAAATTTTGAGAGCTGGTAATTCGATTTTTATATTTTTATTTTTTATTGATATTAATATTTGTAGTTTAATTCGAAGTTAAGTTGCCTATAAATTGACTTTAATGAATTTTATTGATTTGTTTAGTTGTCCACAACTTTTTTATATATAATTTTAGATCGTATCCTAAAAACAGATACTAGTTTCCCCTCCCTTCTTTTGGCGCCTCTGCACGTTATCTCCTGTTAATTAACTTACACTGCATAGTTGGCTCCGCTAATTTGAGTATTTTCCAATTTAATAACAAAAATAACATTAACAGTTTGGCGAATAAGTACAATGTCTCATATACTAGCCCAAATATTTATCACTTACCAGTCGTAAAAACACACACACAATTAGAAAAAATACATATCAAGAACGCTGAGAGCCTCATTCTGTGAACACTATTTTGTAAAAATGAGCAAAACTGATAGTGGCCAGTGGCTGACTAACGTATTTGCGTGGAATTGGTTTAAATTTAGTGTACTGTTGACGGGCAGATGAACGGTTATTAATTCATTTCGAATGTCGCGTCTTCATTAACTAGTCAAAATATGGTTAATGGGTGTAATTGTTTCTAGCTGGTGGTACGGGCTGTAAGATGCGTGAACGACGCGTAAGGCTGTGTTTTATTTTTTTAATTATATTCTTAAAGGCTCGTCCTTACTCGGATACGTGTTTACGGGTACATGTTACTTAAACGTGCAACTTATTGATAATTTTGTATACAAATGCGTCTTCGTATGTCACAAACCAATGTTATCAACACAGTTGGGCCTTATATCGCCGAAATTTCGATGAAAAGCAACAAATAATTTGATATTTCTACGTTACCGGTTGGTAAGCGCAAAAGGTCAAACAATGTTTTGTAACATGTAGCAAAGCATCCACATTTAGGGTGGTTGTAAATTATCATTCGACACTTTTAAGAAAGATGGAAAAATAAAGACACCCTGTGGTATAATTTTTTTCCGAAAATGAATAAAAGGGAAACATATTATTACTAAGATAGTAAAGTAATAATTAAAAAATGTTTCTCCTTTCAAATGAAGTTAAACAATCTCTTCAATACAAAAATCTAGGTAGTTATGTAAAAAATATTTAACCTCACAGACAAGATTTTTAATTATTAATTAATTAATTATTCTATGAGCTGCATACTTCAACTAGCATTGAATTGTACCAACAATATCTAATAAACAGCTAGTAATTAATAATAATTATCTAAAATAAAAATCCAGGGTATCCCACCACGAACTCCATCGATGGATATCTGGGAAACCGCTAAAAGTTTTTTTTTGAAATTGTGGTGGTGTGATACGGGCCGTAGGGCCTATCAAGTTAAAATATTTTCAAAGTCATCGTACTACCGGTTATAACGGAAGTCGATACAACTTTCTTATTTTAAATGAAACCCCCTGTATATTATTACATTTTTGGAAAGAACATTTATTTTTAAGTTGAAAACATATAGCATACTCCATACTTAGGATTGACCGTTTCCGAGATATTTTGATTTTTAGGCAAAAGTTGAAAGATGCAGACTGTCAGTAAAATTTAGTTTGCCCGGAAACAGAGGTTTATTTTTTTGTGCGAATTGGACATTTTGTATGGGAAGATCTAATTTATCGGACTTGACATGAAAATTTTCCAGTTTTTATACAAGGTGGCCAAAAAAAAATGATCGACTATGAAGTTCAGAAAATATGGAAAACTCGAAATTTATAAATGGAAACCCCCAATTTTTTTAAGGTATTCGCATTATGTACTAAAATTGAGTGTAACTTTGTTAAAGTTTCCCTATACCTAAACCCAGTCGTTTTCATTTTATTTACGAATAAACATTTCGCTTTTCCTAAAATGGTGTTTCCATTTGTTTCGCACATTTTAGGTTGGCCGTGACAGATAAGTAACAATCAACATGACAACTGTCGCAGGTTTATATTGTCAAATTTATTTTAGTAAATGTTCAAACTGTTCAATTTTTCACACCTTCGGATTAATTCCTTGTGGGTCGCTGCACTAATAGAATCCGGTGATAAAAGCTATTTTATTTGGATGACTAAAAAATAGTGTATACAACAAAGGAAAATTGTATGCATAGCGTAGGGCAAACATTTAAGCATTTTGCTGACAGTTTGCATCTGTCAATTTTTGCCTAAAAATCAAAATATCTCGGAAACGATCAATCATTAGTATGGAATGTGCTATATGTTTTCAACTTAAAAATAAATGCTCTTTCCAAAAATGCAATAATATACGGGGGGTTCCATTTAAAGTAAGAAAGTTGATATCGACTTCCGACATAACTTGAAAATATTTTAACTTGGTAGGCCCCATGACCCGTATCACACCACCACAACTTCAAAAAAATCCTTCGAGCGGTATCCATCGATGGAGTTCGTGGTGCAACACACTGTACAGTATCCAAATTCACAAGCTCACAAAAAAAATTCATGTGCCTTTTATGATCCCCTGTATTTTGACCCACTGAAGACGATGGAGTCATCAGAAATGCTTGATCAAGTCAGGATTTTTCCTAACCTCAAAAATAGTTCAAAATCGGTGGAAATCTCGATTTTTTGTTAAAATAGTTAATAGCGTCGAAATAATTTTTTTTTTCTCTAAAATGCCTCCTTGTGGAATTACAGCCATTTTAAACCAATTTTGAGCACTATTAAAATGCCTACAACTCCTTAAGGATGCATTTTAAAGAAAATAGTGCAAGAATAAGAAATTTTTACTTAAATATTATATCCTATGCTTGAATATATAAATTAAATTACACTTTAAAGCTCTTGTATTATTTCTTTTCCTACAAATTAAGCTTTGGGGGGCGCAAAATTCAAATCTTGACCTGGGCGTTCATGATAGCTACGACGCTGCTCTGTATATCACCAAAAGTGTGTGGCAAAAGTCCATACCCCAAAAATAATCAAAATCGATTAACGCGTACTAGAGTTAAAAAAATTTAAATTTTTTTAGGAAGTTTGAGGCCATCGATTTAAATAGATATTGTAAGAAATGGTACCCTGTACTTTTTTTGTAGTAAATAATATAACAAAATTTCGGTGATAGTTGCATAAAATAATATATTTAATTATGAATCCACCAATACATAAATAACTAACCACATCTTTGATATTTTATAAGAAAATATTCAACAAAATAAAAAATTTTGCTATCGCTATAAATCAACAAAAATGTACGAAGTTGGTCAAGGATACAGAGTGATGATAAATTTCTGGTCAAACCAGAAGGTTGAACAAGAAAATTAAATGACTATATCACCAAGTTTTTTTGTTTCTATATTATTTTCTACAAATATTAGTGTTTTCTGCTCAAAAATCGATTCTGAAAGACATATTTTTAAAAATTAATGTACAATTGATTTTATGTTTGGTTATCCTAATTCCACAGGACTTACATTTGTCAAATTCAGATTGTATTTTAATGTCAAAGTAAATAGTAATAAAATGAGAATTATGGATTTCCCTATGATTCTTTACATTGTTTTAAGAAAAGATATTTATATTTAGGTATGTCTCAAATGACTCACTTTCGGAGATACAAGATAGAGTTTTTGAAATATATCACATCTACGCAAATATCTCGGAAGATATTTGACATTGATTCCCATGAAATCTAATCTGGTAAAATAACCAAGTAAAGGTGAAAATCACTTAACACGTGTGTGTCACCCAGTGTCAGAAATACTAGAATACAGCATTGTTGTTTTGGAAATTTGATAAAAGCGTTTAATTCCTAATTGTATTCTTCCTTTTTATTTGAAAACATTTGTGAGTTTAAAAGTTTCCCACGCAGTTGAATAAATCGAGAATAAGTCTAAAACTGTAAAAAAATAGTGGCAATATTTGCTTATAAAAATAGTCACTCAAATGTCAAAATCAAAAACTCGAAAAAAATATTTGGTGGAGAAATTTTCTGGGAAATTTTTTAGCTACTGGTTTTCTCAAGATATGGTGATTTAACTGTATTTAAAATTGTATTTACAACAAAAACCCTATATTTGGCTTAAAAAAATAATTCCTCCAATATAATGGACGAAATTTTTTCTTTTAAAATTTTCGGAATGTAATGTTGAAAATCTAGGGTTGCAAATTACTTAATTGTCACCAGCTCAGGTTTCATTGATCTGTATCAAACATCTTGAGTCAATTGATTTTTCAAAAACTCTAACACCCTGTATATTGAAAACCGGTTTAGATATATGTTTCTCTTAAAATAGTTTGAAGAATGTATAATGTACCACCCTGTATAATGAAATTGTTATAAAAATTCAACACGATTGTCAACATTATCTAGACAAACCTGTTAGTTTGAAGTAAAATAATAGGATTCTTTAGAATTGCACATTAATGATTCAGTGATTGCAGCTCGTGACAGGCAGTCGAAGGTCGAAGGATATTAAATTTAAAAAAAAATGAAAGAATTTAATAAGAGATTCGAAATTAAAGATGTATAGAACCTAGAAAATATTACGGCACTTCAAAGGAATTTAAAAAATATATATAAGTTATGATTAATTATGTTACTAAAAATTTTCAGTGGTGGTAATCACAAAGAATGTAATTATTGTGTTTGCAATTAAATAAAATATGGTTAGGTGCAGGATTTTTGTGTCATGATGTGCTAATTCAAGAAAAACATACATAACGGTAATGTAATTTGCTCATATATCTTTTATTGTCCTATTTTTTCTGTTATTTTAGTTACCTACCTATCACTGAAGATCTTGAAAATGACTGATGTTAACGAATTAATTATAATTAACAATTAAAAATCTGGCAATACATTTTTTTAATTTTTATCTGCCTTGTTTTGTATTTAATTTTAAAATAAACCTTTCCTTAGCAGCAATGGCAAGAAAAACAAAGCAAATAAAGTATGTTAGAGCATACCTTCTTGTAACGTACTTGCACTGAATACAACAAAGCACAAAATAAAAAGTAAATTTTTCATACTGATGCTATAAACAAGTAATAGTCGACTGAAACAAATGCAGAATCTTTTCCTATATATAACAATAGTAAAATCGCGGTTTTCGTTTACTGCTTTACACTTTACTACCTTTGACTAAACCTCATTGTACTTTCCAGCTAAAAACGTGTTTTTAGCTCTGACGTTAATAATGTATCTGAGAATTATACCTACGTGTCATCTTGATTAAGAACAAACAATTTTTTGGGGTTGTAACCAAAGATGATTCTGGATGCCACTGTTCAAAACGTATTTTGTGGTCTTTCACAATCATCAGAGAAAACATGATCTCTTTTCCTAGAATTTTATCCCTCGCTAGAATCTCTTCCTCAAACGTTAACTAAAAGCAGTTGTAAAAATAATTATGATAGTCGATTATTGGAGGTTATTTTTCAGATTTTCCTTAGATTACAAATTTGTTTATCTAATAAAAACTCAAAGGAAAAAATTTTCAAACTATGGAAGTCAAATTTGAGAACTTCAGAGCTCTTTCAGAGCTTCCAATGAGGTCACTAAG